TTACCATAGGAGTCTTTCAAAAATAGCCTCTGCGAAAATTTGTCCGAATAACGCCAAGGTAATGTTTCCGGTTTCACACTTTCAACGGTCGATTACTTCTTTGAAAAAGAATTTTGTATAAAATGAGCAAATTTTGAAAGAATTTGCAAGATTCCTTCATCTGCAGAGTTCATTTCAGTTCGCCTAAATGACTATAAATAATCCGAAACAGTGCTTTGCCTCGACGAATTTCTTCGCGCCACTTCAGAAGAATTCTATGAGCCCTCGACAATTCTGAAATTTTACTATTTATAGAGTCCCATATTATTCTTTTTACTGACCTACTCAACCCACACAGAAGTCGAATAATAACAGAAAGCTAAAGATTCCGCAGGCTTCGGAAAACTTTGGGCAAAACATGGGCTCACCTAACCTTTCTGTGGACCACGTCGCCATGGTTATGATAAAGTATGGCCTATCAATTGAATACAAAAAGCTAGGAAAAAAGGTAGGGATGCGCGAAAAAAACTGCTTGAGATGGGTGCAGGACACATACGTCCCGCGCTGTCCGACGTGGCCTGCAAAGTGCGGGACGTATGTGTCGTGCGCTGTCGTCAACGTGTTAAAAAGCAAAAAAGGGCTAACGCGCGTTGCACTAATGTAGTAATTTTTTTGTATCGACTATTTCAATGAAAAACATAACAAATGCCTCCTACAAATCGTAATTCATTGACACTAATGTAACTTATTGTTGTTTGCATTTACGTTTTGCTCTTATTTGCTTGTTCACATTAAAACAAAACAAAAATTGAACTTAACTAAAAATCCAGTGAGGCTCAGAAAACCTTCGCTCCTACAATTACCAATACTAACCCTTCATGGAACCACGCCGTTATAACTTCGTAATCCCTACTATGTATAATAAGTCTGTCTGTCTGTCTGTCTGTCTGTCTGTCTGTCTGTCTGTCTGTCTGTCTGTCTGTCTGTCTGTCTGTCTGTCTGTCTGTCTGTCTGTCTGTCTGTCTGTCTGTCTGTCTGTCTGTCTGTCTGTCTGTCTGTCTGTCTGTCTCTGTCTGTCTGTCTGTCTGTCTGTCTGTCTGTCTGTCTGTCTGTCTGTCTGTCTGTCTGTCTGTCTGTCTGTCTGTCTGTCTGTCTGTCTGTCTGTCTGTCTGTCTGTCTGTCTGTCTGTCTGTCTGTCTGTCTGTCTGTCCGTCTGTCACGAAGCGACAGCGAACACAGGCACAGGGCCGTCAAGTGTGGAAATGAACATACTGACGACGAGATTTCATATACTATACCAAACAAGCCTCAGACTGGGCCAAACCGTCTGTAAAGGTGTGCATTGGTAAGTCACATCGAGTTAAAGGGCAAAGTTCGGGCTCAGACCCACTTAATGAGCCTTTACGGTGGCTAGAAGCGCTAGGTACGCAAGTGTAGGGGTCGCGTCACTTCCCTACTTCGAAAACCGTTATTTAGACGCTAGGCGCTAAGAACTTTGACACGCTCCACCTGCTGCGACACGCTCCGCCCACCGCTCGATATCTTGACTGCGTCGGAATGTTGATCTGCTATGCTCTCTCTACTTAGACTTCTCTAGCGCTCTCCGCGCTCACATTATCTCATCTCCCTGCCGGCCTTTTGAACTTCTCCGCACCGTAGAGGAAATGGCTCGTATTTCCTAAGCATTTCACGATTTCTTTTTCTCTTTTCTGCACTGGCGGTCCACTACCTACCCCTACTTTCACATTTAAGTGGAATTAACTCATAATTCATCTGAACTTCCTTTAATAGATTCCACCCCCCGTGGGGCATTCTCGAAACACGCTTTATGAAGAATTTCATTACTCGGTTGGGAGAAAGCCTACAGTGCATAAAACAAATTAGTTTAGGGGAGCAATGTATAAGGTGCTCCAGCATACACGACGTTAGCGGAGGTCCGCCCACAATGGGCGGAGCGCGCCCAGTGAGGCTGAAGTGTACAGCGTTTTTTACAAGTCCTCATAATTCAGGGCGGAGAAGTCTTAGTGAGCCCGAAAAAGGTAGATAGAGTGGTGGAATGAGGGAGGCCAACTGCTTATCAGCGCGGCATGAACCAAACGTGGCGCTTATCAACGAAAATTCATAACTCGGTTCCAAGAGGTCCTGGAGACCGGGAAAAAAGTGAACTGAGTCCGTCAACGGAAGGGAGGTCAACTGCCATTGGTGGGTGGGACGAGCAACAACGGGGCGGAGTTTGCCCTAAACTTATCAATTCCGAGGTTCAGGAGCGCGAAAATGTGCTCGAATCTACCAAACGCACGGAGGACAGCGCTATTGGTGGCGGGGCTAAACCAAAGTGGCGAGCTTGGCGACAAAATTTCATAACTCGGTTCCAAGAAGTCCCAGAGACCGGGACAAAGGAGAATGGGGGTGGGTGGAGGAGTGGAGCCCAACTGCTGTTGGTGGGCGGGGCATTTCCGAAGTGGGCGGAGTTCTCCACAAAGCTATGCGACTCGGCGGCAAGTAGTCCTGGGGACCGAGAGAGAAGAGGGCGAAGGAAAAGAAGTGAATTACTGATGGTGCCGGATGAAAATCAAAAAGCAGCATTCGCCGCCAAAAAAAAAAAAATAACATTAACGCCTCAGAGATAGTCAGAGATCGGGTAAAGAGTGGAAGAGGTTGGCGAGGAAGAAAGAGATGGCTGGGACATGCAACGAAAGACGCGGAGTTTACCACGAGCTTTCATAAATCAGTCCGGAGCAGTCCGAGGCTTGGAAAAACGGACAATCGGTGGAGGAAGGAGGGCAGGTCAAAACCCATCGGTGATGAAGCATGGGGCAATCGAATAGAATGCAGCTTGAAAGTCAAATATTCGAAGGGCCAAATTCGAAATTCACACAGCAATGGTATAATATATTGCATACAGAACAGCCAACAAAAATCCGCGAAGATCGGACACGGCGCAAAAACACGTATCAAGACCCGACGCCACGCACACAAATGTCTAAGCGCTTGAAAGGTCTGACGACTATGCGCTCAGCCCTCCATACCTGCATTCATGTCGCGCCTGCCATCACATGTTTCCCGCATCCCCATTCCTTTTAGACAAACCCCCACTTTTTCAATTTTTTTGTTTCAATTTTTATATATCAGATTTGGATATAAACACAAACATTGTGGACCACTAAATCCTCCTGTTTGCAGAGGCTCTCCAAATCTCGTGCATTTTTCAGTTTAGTTCGAACTCACACTAGCTACTCAGAAGAAAGTAAAATTGCGAATGACACTTGAATGTTTGGCCAAAACGTTTAACGATAAGTTTGTCGAGTTGCAAGAAGTTTCAAGCATTACAGCAGAAAAAAACCTATACGAACACTCTCCAACAAGATCTTGAATTCCACCCTCCCGTATCCTGAGCAAGCATCTACTCACTCGAAAGTTCTGTTGGAGCAATCACTTTGTTTGTGCTTCTATCATGTGAACTAACTTACTCAGTTACCGCTCTATCAAGTCGTTTACGTTTTCGAGCTTCCAAAAACGCGCTATTGGACCGTGCGGGAGATATCTACACCCCGACAAATGAGGTTGAAAATCGCGTCGGTCCTACATGTTCAAATACACCAAAACTCGCACTCTTGCGGTCAATGTGTTAATGCGAATCTCCCGAGACGCAAAGAGACTCATGGGCAATCGTATAGCATTTCGAAAGTACCAAACAGAACAGGTCGCCCACTGAGTGATTTTCCAGCCTTATTCCCCTATTGATACTTCGATTTTATTTAGGTCGCCTCAATTTGAAAGAAATATGAGCTTATCTCACAGTTCATGGTCCCATCGTTATGAAGAAGTAAACAAATTGCAGTAAAATCGATTGAAATTTTTTTAATTGTAGCTGTTCTGAAACAAAATACTTACCCAGAACCCTGTCTTTGTTAACGGTGGATTTTCTTCATCACTTTCTACTGACATACCTGAAGTTTTCATCAATTTTATAATCTACTAGATTCAGGAAAAATTAGAGAAAAGTTATGTTTACGATAACCCTCTGAAGCAGTTCAATAACAAAACAGAAAAACTTTATGCGAATAAGTATTTTAAGGAACTAGTAAACCATTTAATGATACCAAAACCATTCACTGGAACCAATAAATGAATTTCCTGCCAATGATTAGATAGGGAACAAGAATAGCGAGAAGACGAAGCAATATTGCGCCATTGTTGAAGCTGAGCTTAAAAAAGTACCGTGCTAGTAGAGAAGGATGTATGAAAGGAGCAGAGCATTTTGCGCAAAACGCTTAGCAGCACCCTCAAAAGCACCTAAAACCTAAATATGAAGCTCAAAAACTTCCCTATGCAGTACATGTATAATACACTTACATCGATAACACTAGAGCACATGTAAAAAGGCATCGTGAAACTAAAAGCCGAACAAGTTGTGCGCATGAGGATACACAAAATTGTGTGTTTAAAAAATGCACACAGACGCAGCGCGAATAACCCCGAATCTTAAGACATTAGATGAAGAGCAAAAACAGAAAGCATCCATACACTACACATTTACACGACACGATAACACTACAATTTGTCACTCTAACTAGACCGGATTCGATAAGTATTGCGTAAACTAGAACGATGAGCAACATTAATGAGATGTAAAGGCAAACATGAAGGGCGATTCCTACCAGTCAAAACGCGAGTATAAGTGTTTCAAAATCTGCATTAAGCGAGATTAGCAAAGGCTAGTCTACCAAAGTATTTCACTGGACTTATTTTTCTAGAATATTTCACGCCCAGTCTACTGAAACGCTGAGTCGACGAATACAACAGCCCAAGTTTTACTACAGTACATGTGAGCTGAGCACTGCCCACAGCGTACGCTATTCTCGCCTAATTGTAAAAAAGAAAACGATTTTTGCGTTAACCTGCTCAAGAGGACTCACTCTCAACGAAAAAGAAAAGAAAACAAGTCAACCGCTTTGGGAATGGAAGTGCAACATGCTAATCAATATTTAATATGAAGATGGAAATAAGTCAAAGAGCATTCACACAACTAGCGAAAAATCAAAGTTAGAGAAAAGTTGCTGATCTGCTTCCGTGATGATATGCTTATCTTTTGCAGATGAAAAACGTGGTTTCTCTTTAGTGAACTCATCGTCAAAGTTCGAAACATCCTCCGGATTTTTCTAAAAAAAATTCACCTTCCTCAGATCAAACATTTAACAAGTACCTCAACCTCACTGCGCTTGCTTATTGAAAATAAGAGTAAAATGAGAGATAGTAAACGTACAATTTGAGGGATGAACTTAGGTGTTATTTCCTTGCGAAGTAAACGATCCCACTGCCAATCGATGTGCTGGAATTTCGGTAATTGTAGGTGCAATTTCAGTGGGTAGTAACAATTTAAACTATTTCTTTGATTATACAACTATAAGGTTTTGTTCAGAAATATAAATTTAAATTTAGTTCAGATGAAAAAAGACATTTCTCAAAGCAAGCTGTTTTTGGATTTTTTCGAGTGAAACACGAAGAAGAAGCCTAGCTTCTTCGCGAACACCTCTTGAAGGAGACTGAACAACTGAAATGTTCTCCCTCTGTGTTCAATGTGTTCAAGTCGTTATTTACTCTAACAACTTAAAACCAGTCTGTGATGAAGAACAGCATATAGGAGGTATTTTACAATGTTGCCTTCTCACTTCTAACATGTGTAATCTACTACTTACTATAAAGCGCTTCGTCTGTCTGTCGTCTGTATGTCTGTCACGAAATTCCCTAGCTCCTCGGGATCCGCCTGGAGACCGGGTCAAGTGTGGGATGGGTGGGCAAGGTCTCGAGAAGTACAAAACACACATCAGCTAAGCGGAGCCCCGCCCACAGTGGGCGTCGAAATGAGTTGTACTGAAGACCAAGATTTCAGATTTCATACCAAAACAGCCTCGAAACTGGGGAAAAAAGTGGGTAAAGGTGTGCATTGGTAAGTCACATCGAATTAGGGAGACCCACCCCCGGTGGGCGGGGCGTTCTCCAAAAAAGCAGTGCTTTATGAAAAATTTCATAACTCGGTTGGGAGAAAGCCTACAGAGCAGAAAACAAATTGGTGTAGGGGAGCAATGTCTAAGGTGTTCCCAGCATACATGACGTGGGCGGAGGCCGCCCACAATGGGCGGAGCGCGCTCTGAAGTGTACAGCGTTTTCTACAAGTCCTCATAATTCGGGCCGGAGAAGTCTTAGTGAGCCGGAAAAAGGTGGATAGAGGTGGGTGGAGGAGTGGAGGCCAACTGTCGGTGGGCGGGGCATGACCAAAGTGGGCGGAGTTTGCGACGAAAATTCATAACTCGGCTCCAAGAAGTCCCGGAGGCCGGGAAAAAGGTGGATAGAGGTGGGTGGAGGAGTGGAGCTTAAATGTATTGGTGGGCGGGGCATGACCAAAGTGGGCGGAGTTTGCGACGAAAATTCATAACTCGGTTCCAAGAAGTCCCGGAGACCGGGAAAAAGGTGGATGGAGGTGGGCGAAGGAAGGAGGCCAAATGCTATTGGTGGGCGGGGCACGCACCGAAGTAGGCGGAGTTTGCCACGAGATTTATTGTCCGGAAGCAGTCCGGAGACCGGGAAAAAGAGGATAATGGTTGACGAAGAAAAAGAGGTTGAAAGCCGTCGATGATGGAGCGGATAGAATTTAGCTGAGAATTCAGATATTCGTGGTGTATCAAGCCAAATTTGAAAATTTTCGTCGCACCATCAAAATTCGCCGCAGATCTGTGTTGTGCGCGCAATGCGTGCGGCGCCAACTGGTAATAAAGAAAGCAGAAAATAATATAAGAGAAGCATGAAAAAAAAGAAAAACAAAGTAAGCTTACTTTGAAAAAACGCTGCATTTTTACTTCTTCGGCATCTTTCTCGCCCGCACCCAATCTCTTATCGGGGTTTTTCCTCATCAACTGAAAGTAATGCATCCAAGTATAGTTCTACATAACTGGAAACGGTTCTACCCCTTTTCCAGAATGAAACTTGCATTGATTAACAGAAAAAAGAAAAAGCTTCTGCGAAAAAAAAAGTGTAAACATACTCGACGCATAATAGAGATACTTTCGATGGAAAGGAACCTTGGGTATCGAACTTCGTCATTGACAATGCTGTCGAAAATCTCTTCCTCGTCATCACCACTGAAAGGTGGTTCACCAACCTATAAGAACATATCTGACTAAAGCGAAATTGATTGATAAGTGAACCTAAATGGTCTAGCGAATCCTGGAAATGCGAATAAAGTGATCGAAATTATTAATAAAACAGTTGAAAGCACAAAAAAATCAAGCGGATCTCACCAGCATTTCAAAAATGAGCACACCCAAACCCCACCAATCAATGGCTCGCGTGTACGACGATTCGGTCAAAACCTCCGCTGAAATGGTGAATTTTATGCAATCATTTGATAGTGCAATGATGCAAAAATAGCAGTTGATTACTAACGAGCTAAGAACTCCGGTGTTCCACAGAAAGTACTTGTCTTATCTGAAGGTCCCATGCCTTCTTTACACAAACCGAAATCTGCCAGCTTCACAAAACCGTCCTTATCTAGTAGCAGATTGTCCAGCTTGAGATCTCTGAACATAAATAATTCACGGCGTTAATAGAATCCTCCACAAAGTAGTGGAAATACGGACGATCTTTCAGAAGGGAGTAATTGTATAATATGAAAGATTAAAGTCCTCCGTTGCACATCATCAACTTCAATCATGACAAAATAGGCGCTCACGGCATTAACGGCTGGGGGGGGGGGGGTTCAAAACAGGGTCGAGGGTAGGTGACTCTAGGACTAAGCCCAGGAGGAGAACACGAATGGCTCACATCCTTCCATCCCCCTCCGTAAAGCTCGGTCGCAAAAACTGTAGGGGGCTCACTCCATTGAGTGCCTTCCCCCCCCCTCCCCCAAACATGAGCGCCATAAAGCAAGCCGTCACAACTTGGAAAGCGCTAGGTTTAAGACGTGGGAGGTGGTGGAGGGGGCGAACCATAGCGGCCAAGACTACGACATCGCTCCTTGTCTACTATTCCTTCTTCAATCTTCATCGATCATGCGCGTAAACTCTCGGTGCACATGTCCTTGGAATTATTTTCTTACAAGTCTGAAGAATTAGTTTTCAACTCCACGCGGTGGTGGCGCTGAGTTCGTCTGTGCTCTCTCGACTCTAGCCCAAGCTCTAAAAGAAGTTCCTGAGCCATGTGAAGGATATGAGAAGGAGCAATTGTGAGAATTAAAATAGTGCGCAGCTTAGGACTAGACTTTCAGACTCCGACTGGCGTAAGCAGTTTTCGTTTTCCACATCGATCCTCCCCTTGCAGACACATGTTCGCCCACCCGGACCTCCTGCCTCTTCTTCAAAACCTCATCCTTTGGCTTTCAAATACACATTCGTACCACACAGCACAAAAAGAACAACAAACGTAAAATTCAACACAAAAAAAACGCACGACATACAAAAAAACTAGAAAAATGGTGTTCGGATTGAGCTACAGGACGGAGTTTGTAGCTTTGAACGTCTTCTGCACGTTTACTTGTACTGAATCTGTTTGGAACCTCGATTAGTAAACACTTCTACGTACTCGTGTTGAATAGGGCCCCTTTCCTGCCGAGGGAGAACAGAACAGAACACTGCGCCGCACCGCCACGTGAAAACACGAATTAGTTCATCTAAACGCTCATGATACAATGATGTCAGAGTATTTTTGAATGCCCTCCACTACCTGAACGACCCCCTCATTCCCCCGGGGACTTGCACGCCCCACCCTCCAAAAAGTTATTGCTAGCGAAATCACTCGAAGGTAATTTGTAACTCTGCGCACTAATCTGCTCGAAGACGCGGACGAACACGAAAAATGGGACAACAACCACGTGAGGCATTACGACCAAAACAGAAGACTTGTCCGAAATACCTGTATATGATGTTGTTCTTATGCAGAAACTCTAGACCAAGAAGAACACAAGCCGCATTAAAACAACTTCTTTCTTCACTGAAGATATCGTCATGAATGTGCCGCATTAGGTCACCACCCATACTGAAATAAGAATCTACAAACGGCGTTCGTAAATAGAAAAAAAAATCGCTTGTTGAGTGGAAGAACTTGACAAAACGTGCGATGATACTGTAACACACCTGTATTCCATGACAAAAAATACATGTTCCGCAGTTTGGAAACAGCCGAAAAGATTCACCAAAAATGGATGGCGTGCACGTGAAGCCACCTAAACGAATTTCATCGTCACGATTCTAATTGCGTATGGTCAAAGCAAATGAGTTTGGGAACTTTTAGATGTTGACCACTGAGCGTCTTCTTTCGGATCGCCTACCACACCCTCGACAACGTAGAATTGAGACACGATGGGCAGGGTACAGACGTGTGGCACCATTTCTCGATTATTAAAAATCCACGAACCTGCTCTACACCACTACCTTACCACAACAATATTTCTAGTCCCTCCCATCACAACAATACAACATTTGTAGTCCTTACCTCCCAAAAATTCTAAGATGATTTCCCAATCCTAATCATACAAATTGTGAAAAAAACCCATAGAACAAAGATTATCAACAATTAATCGAAAATTGAGAGATGGAGACCATTTGTGACAGATGGCGCAAGTGTTCACATATGCCTAGTTTGCGTCATCGAGAACTTAAAAGTAACTCTCACCTCAAAGATTCGCTTCTCTACCATAAGAGATTCAACTTCATCTCTGCCAAGGATATCTCCCTTTTTGAGAATTTTCAAAGCATAATATGACGAATTTGCCTTATATTGTGCTAGGATTACCTAAAATAAGGTTTTAAAGAGGAATTGTTACCAAGTAGGCGATCTATTGTGTTATTTTTGGAGTCATTGTTATTTTTGGAGTAATGTTATACATATATAAAAACAATGACCTTTCCAAAGTGACCCCTTCCAAGAACGCTGACCATCCGGAACATGTCAATAGTCAAGTTGGCGCCTTTGGATGGCAAGACTGCAGTCGGTGGAGAAGGCACTACCGATATCGAGGCCTAAATGTATGCTAGCTCGAAAAAAGAAAGATTGTAAGCGAAACAGTATGCGTATGCAAAGCTACAGAGTCGAAGAACGGAAACAGCATTACAACCAATGATAATATGCACACAAGGAGATCTATCACTGAATTTGAACGTACTTGAGGGGAATGTAAAGTTGTTTCCTCGCTAGAGTTTGCGGAAACCGCAGGAGGAACTGACTTCCTGCGATAACTTCCTGGCAGAAGAATGTTCTAAAATGAAGAATATGCTTAAGTATTCAAAGAGAAGTCGTGACAGCACACGATACATTCAAGTTTAAAATTTAGGACCGCTACCGAATTGTCGCGTACCTCACTGTGATGTTGTGCATGCCGGTGTGGAGGAGTAGTAGAAGTTTCACCTCCAAAGGTTGGCTGGGCTACTTGTGAAAACCTTGAAACTACATAGCATAGAGTACATGATTACCGTGATTTGTCCTAATGTTGGAAGAACGGACCTGGCAGCACTATCTACAAAGGCAGTCGTGCGATCTTTGATCACTTCGCGAGTAGACGATGACGTTGAGGACGTCTTTGAAGGAAATCCGTAACCTGAGGAAGGAGATATAGAAATAGAATAGGACTAGTTTCGGGCAATTTAATCCTTTCGGAGAGAAAATAGGAAGTGATTGAATTCACTCCCGGTGTGTTACCTAGTTGGAAATAATTAAAAACAGAAACCTGGTTGGAATCCAGCAGTTCCGTAATCAACGATAGGCTCGTTTTCTCGGCCTTTCAGCATTCGGGATAATGCATGAACTCCTAATTGCTTCTTAGCACCAGCCATGTCTTTTCGTTCTTAAACGAAATCTATTTTGTTCTTATCGGAACTATTAAACAGTTTCTACCAGTCACAGCGTGTCAGCATTTTGTATTCATCAAATTCAACCAACTCCTTAAATGACGAGCAAAAAATAGCCTCTTGCCATCAAAATATAGGAGGCAAAATAATAGGCATCACTTCCATAATGCCGACGTAATATACTAAGATTGAAGTGATCACGGTAGGCATGAAAAGCTCCTACCTTTCACTTTAAACAACCGTTTCTGTCGCTCCAGCTTCGGTTTCCGACTGATCACAGGATTCAAGTATTTGAACTGGAAACATGAAAATATAAAAAAAAATGTAGGGAATTGAGAGCAAGAGCACAGACCTCAGCAAACAAGTCCCCATGAGGTTCCAACTGGAGAACCATTCCAGCTTGACCCGTTGGCTCTACGAAATTACCCAGTTTCACAGCTGTGAAGGCGCACATAGACCGGGAGTCACGATAAAACACTTCTATTTCCAGTTCCTTTGACTAAAATAATTTTGAAATTTCAATGAAGAGCCCCCGCACCAATAGCATTAACAAATTTTTGGGCGGCAAGGACCCCAAATATATAAAATAACATACCCTGTCTAAATCGACACTGAAACGCTGGTCCCATGCCTGCTGACTGAGAGGGCGAGCTTCAGTGTGTCCAACGACTCGGCTATCTACACGCAGAAGAGCAATGACATCGTCAGACTGACGTGAAACTGTGCTAAAATGTATTTTTGCAAGTCAGTTGGTCCAAATATTGATGCTTTTCGTACCTGTGGCTACGTGTGGAAGATGAGCGGATTTTACTACGACTGGTGCTTTCCGTAGTTAACGAGCTCGAAGCTGTTGCGCCCAACGCTTCTGCACGAGGAAGACGTCCAGGCACTTCACTAACCAAATTCTGGCATCCTATCAATCGTATCTGAAACCAGACAAACATCGTACCAAAGTTGCAACTGTTGTTAAAGCAACAGTCCCAGCAGGGTGGGCGTGGTCGGAAACGGCTGCAATCCCCTCGGCCGATTCCCACTTCGGAGCTGTTCAGCCCCTAGTCAAGAACGTAAGAAGTGTGACTGAACAAAAACTCACCTTGGAAAGCCGCTAGGGAGGGAGCTGAAGTGGGCGTGGTCGGAATCGGCCGAGGGGATTGCAGTCGTTTCCGACCACGCCCACCCTGCTGGGACTGTTGCTTTGAAAAACGTGATGCCAGTAAAAATAAGCACCAAAAACTTCAAGAAAGTGTGGAAGATCAAGGTCTTCTTGACTCTACATAACCTACTTCCAATCTTCCACTCACGGCCAATGAAGGTGGCAACGTACTAAGTCGTCGCGAATATAGACTACGGGGCAAACTGGACGTTTTGGACGAAGCTTCCTGAAACATGGCACAAGAAGATGTACATGAAGTAAGTTTTCAGAAATCAGTGCTCCAGCTCGCTCGAGCAGATATACTCCAGACTTCTCTACCAATTTAAGCCCGTCCGCTCTTTTCGATCAGCTGTTTTCGTTTTGGTATCAAGCAGGAAAGCGAACATTGTAAGCACACATAAAATAATAGCACATCTGTGCAGCTACAACATACAGAAGGTGGGCTGCTGGGCGCTGATCCAGGAGGGCTAAAACGACGATCAGCGAAACGCCCATGAGGTGATGAAGATGGCATACGCGTCTCTTCCATTTCAGTCAGCAGTTCTCGACGACGACTGGACTCAGGTGGTAGTTGTTCGCTAAAAGGCACAATATGCTAACTTCGTTAAAAAGGGAGATGAGGAATAAGCTTCCGAAAAAAACTTCTATAATCACAAACAATATGACAAGGAAAGTACCGAACTCACATGTATTTTCTCAACGCCATAAGTATGAGATCAAGTTTTTCCTCGGAAAGAATAAGTGTCTGTTGAGCCTGAAATCATGCATTGAACTCTGACATCAAAAAATTCAAAAGGCAAAAGGATATTATTCTGAAATATGGTATAAGTATAAAAACTAAGATAAGCAAGAACAAAACTGACAGAAACTCACATCATTAAGATTCCTATGATCCGTTTTTCTTTGAGCGCGCAGGATCTTGACCATGTTTTTCGCGCCTTCGATGATCGCTGCCTCCTTCCACAAGCGAAAAAGGAGATCGTCTATCACAATGTCCAACTGCGACTTCGCCTCGCTTCCTAAAAAACACGTCGAAGATCGCATTGTGAAGGATCTGGATATGAAAAGAATAGATAGGATAGATATAGATAGATAGACTGGATAGAAAAAACTATTAATCACCGTTACTCGAATGAATATCATGTCCTTGATGGGCAATCTTCTCTATCTGCATTCGTAATAAAGCAATCTTTGCTTTGCTGTCCTATAATGGATAAATAAATATTGGAAATAAATAAATAAATAATGGAAAACAATAAGAGGGCGATAGCCAAAGGTGAAGAAAGCACAAAAAACACTAACATCGAGCATATTTTTAGAATCTTCCAGATATCTTCGGCTGGCGGAAGTGTTGGATGACATGAACTTTTCCAAGCCGTCCTTTACCTTCATTTCTTTCGCTAGATCTTTCTAAAATCACGTTTAATAGCAACGAGTGATAGCCACTTCAACAACGATTGTCGACTAAGCAACAAGGAACAATGTCTGATTCACAACTGTATATACGCATAAGGAAGGTCTAATCGCACCTGCAGAGCAGAAAGCCTAGAATTTCCGAGAGTATGATGACTTCTTCGGTCACTAACATCAACATCACTTGCCAAATCAAGGGGAGCACCAGTAGCTCCCAAAATTGGTTCATCACACCTCGACTCTTCGTCATCTGAATTATAAACTTGAAGCAGTTCGCATCGTCGTCGTTCAATTTTGCAATGCAGTTTTTACAAAAACCCGCAGATATCAGTGAGATGTAGTCCCTAGTAAGATTTTAGAGCACTGCGACCGTAAATCCAAAAAGTTACCACTACGATAAAAATATAATAGAAGGCGCTTGATGAGTGTACACCTCACACAGCTTTTATTATGCAATATTCATGCTTTTACAACAAAATATTCCACGCCCTTAAAACTCCATACCATAATGAATACAGGAGGATGTCCTATAAATGAAACGCGCATGATATCTTCTTTTTAACTACTGTCTAAACTGGGAAGATGTAACGCTAATTTTTGAGAGAATTTAATTTCAAATGAACAGCTATTGGCTGACGACCACCGCATTGCACCAAAACAGTAAATATATCGACGAAACGCCAACACCCACTTTCATGATTCCATAATCGTCTCCATATGTGAAACACTAGTAGTTTCAAAGATATCATCAGCGCAGTCACTGATATTCGATTTCCAATCCCCGCTATTGATTCATAATCCCACACGCACTACAGCAACTCACTCAATAAATTACTGAAGGCGAGACGAATTGCACAACCACCCATTAAATGGATGGCGTGAAATCCCGAGGGACAAAAGTGGCAGGGAATTCCCCGGAGAGTGCAGAATCCGGAAAAATCAACCCATGCATTTCCAATGCATCTCAGCCGACATAACCGGCTTCGGCGTTAACATCACGTAAGCATGCATGGCATGAAAAGCTGAAGCGCCAATTTGTAATTGAAAAGAAGAAAGACAGTACATCATCTCCTATTCGTAGTGAGGGAAAGGCCCTAACAAAATATGACCAAAAAACGAAAGCGAAATGGAGTCCACACACTGATTGATAGCGACGCCGAACAAAGAAAAGAACACTAACGATCGATGAACCGCAACAATTTTACACACTAGAGACACTGCCAGGACTAGCCAATATAGAAAACATCTTTGTTGACACTACTGTTGAGTGATACCGTGGCAAACAATGCAAGTCGGCATTATAGCAACAGTACTAGAGTGACTTTTTTACGGCAGTCGTCCACTCATGCAATTTTTTCTTCGCAGTCATTTAGCCTTTGTGTTACCCAAAAGTATACGCACTGTTTCCATAGAGTACTGATTTCTTCATATTCCAAATGCGATCATGGGGACTACTTCACATTTAACGCCAGAATGATGAAAAAAAATTCGTAATTCGGCGTCAAGTGTGCAATGGTCTTCATTCCCTATTGTCAGGTATGTACCTGGATATAATCCGAACGATAGGGGAAACTCATAAATGTTCTTCCCTCTTTCTATTTCCTTTGTATGCTTCACCTAATAATCCTTAAAGAAGTTTCATACTAGTGGCGGGCAATGGCCTTTTCAAATGAGCTTAAGCTCTCAGAGAGCCATTGGCTGAATAACAGCAAATCTTTCTTAAACATCGCAACATCATGAGGTACGACCAATCAAACTGAAAGAACAACTGTGAAAGATTCAACCAACCGAAGGCACCCGTATCGTAGACGTCTAGAATTTGGAGATCGTCTTGCATGTCGCTAATTTGGTCGCTGAGATCTCGAACTTCTCTCTTTAGATAATCTGACTGCTTCTTTCCATTGGTTGCCTTCTGGAAATGACTCCAAATGACCATTAAAAGTGGAAAGGGATAACAACTTGAACAAGCCTGCATTTGAACATATCCAGCTTTAATTCTCATCTGTTTCTTAACTGCTGACCGTATAATCTTCTTCAGTTCAATCACCTAAAACAAAATATTACCCAAACACACAAGAAGAGATATTCAAGATAAGCAGAACCTCTTTTTGAATACTTCGTTCATCTTTGATTGAGAACTGGTACTTTTCTGCAAGTTGAGCTACTTCCTTCGGTACTGATTCGCCACTGGAAAAATGACTTGGGAAAAGCTGACCGAAGGGGAAAAAGCGGTTACCTACCTGATCAACGGTGAGTCAGGAGATCCGTTAGACGAACCAAGTGACACTGGCGGTACAACTTCCGCCATGGTCGACAATCCTTGAACATTACTAGATTTAGTAACACACCAGGTCAAGGCATGCATACGGGTTTTGTCGATGAAATGAGAATTGTTGGTAGCGCTGCAAGTTCTTCAGTGTACATCAGTAAAGATATTGTCGGTTTTCAGGTATTAGAGGCAGCAAATGCAACAGGAAAGGTAGACAGGACTTCAAAGGCTTTCCAAAGATTGCTAACAATATACTTCCGAGCATTAGAAATCCGAAACGTTAACACAGCGTCATGGTGAGAAATCGAACCGAGTATCCAATTTGAGGTCCATTGAGGAAAAACTGCGCCCGGAATTAATGCAATTTAGTGGAGTGACAGACTCTAAGAAGCGCCGATCAGCGTGTTCTAGAATCTGATCACTAGCAAATAAAAAAGAAGCTCAAAAGGAAAGGTACAATATTTCAGGTGCGATATGCAAGATACATTCAAAATTCTTCCTTTACATGAATAGAAAAAGCCAAAAGGAGTTCGCTGCTACCCGAAAGTGTTGTGAGAGAACAACTTAGTAATGCAGCATTGAAGTACCTCGAACGATTCAGGGTGTACTTGATAAAACAACGGCGAGACGGTCACGGCAAGAATTTGTCAGAAAAAAGCCTAACTGGAAAATTTGACGCGATCGAATACAAGACTGAACGAACTGGAACGAGCACCCTAGATGCCGGCATGACTTCACGCTGTAGCTGTAAATGACACAGAAAAGGAAATATAAACTCACTCTGACAAATGTGAACATACGGAAGGAAAAGGAAGCAGTGCCGAACCAAGTTCTAGCATTTCAACCTTTCCAAACTATATTGGCTGAGAGCGACAAAACACCTAGGAAACAACACCGAACAGCCTCGTAACAAAAGTATCATTAGCCGAAAATGACGAAAATACACGTCTATTTAAAGATACGAAGATTTACAGCTGCAGTACCCATGTCCTGTTTTCCGCCCGCAGTCGAGGTCGCAGCGCCGCGACAGCAGAACGTCGCGTTTTAGATTGGAGCGCGCTATCTTCGTGTACTCGTTATATTGTAAAATATTGTTTTAATTTGAAGAGCGGGAGAAAAGCCATCGATTTCGCAACATTTGCCTGCAGCTCTGAATTCATTCTGAGAAATTATGCAGGTTGAAGAAAACCAAAGAGACTGGTGTGACAGGAAGTAATTTCATACCTTTTTGGTTTGAAAATAGTTAGGGATTACGAAAAAATCACTTTACTTCAGCTTTCAAGTACGGGGGATCATGGATCCTTCCATTGTTCATTATTGAACACCGCATTCTTCCAGCCATACGTTCCCTTCTAAAAATACTCTGCTGTTTTTTCTTCGGAGTAATTTTGTGGTTTTCGGAATAATTTCTCGTTTTGCATCTCAATATTAGACTATAAATCTAAGCAGGAGCTATTTTTCGAATGAGCTAGGTAAGACTTGACAATAAACGATTATCAAATTTTGGGAAGTATGACAGCAGCCACCGAGCATCCTCTAGAAAGTGCTTACAGACTTTATAGAGATCCTTTCAACTGAAGATTTCAAACACGAAGAACGATCAACCTTTGAAAATTTATACAGTAAGCACGACCATATCAGCAAAATTTCAATCAGTCGCTGCGCGCGAATAGAACGTGAAAACTGCACAAAAATATTTTAACGGGAAAGAATTAATTTTTAGAGGCGTAGTTTGGTGACAAAAAGGTTATGGGTGGGATCTTTCGGGTGAACGAACCGCACCGTGATTGCTTCTGATGGGGTGTTGCGGATGCCGCCAGTTATAGGTCTCTGAATGAAGGCAAGCATTTTTTCTTGAATGCTGATAAACAAATCTTCGTCTGCAGTGGCATGTTTTAAATGCCATTCGAAAATTTCTTATCAATTTAAGCGGTTATTGACGGACGAACGGACGAGGACGGCAGAGATTGAGAACGCCATAGTTTTGCAAACGATAATATCAAACTAGAAACTGAACCATCCATCGAACCGGGCAGAGTCTGTCCGAACTTGTTCGTGCCATCATCCAACTCTTCTTCAACAGTACTATTAAGCTATCCTTTCCCTAGATAAGATTGTCGACTGCGTGAATCTGGTTGTTTCGAACAACGAGAGGTTAACTGAGCACGTGGCGATCAATAGCCACACTTTTCACTGCAACCGTCTATGTCTAATGTCACCCTGATCAGCGACGGGGGAGGAGAGGAGGGGTGAGGGATAGTAAGGTGTAACTGGTTTCTGAGATGTTATTAAGGTCCACGTCACAATCGGTTAGGTGATTTTAATCTTACAAAGCCACTTAACCCATAACGGACGGCGTGCGCCACATGGTGGCGCACGATTATTTCTTTTGTTTTTGGAATGTTTCTAGCAATCTTAATATACCCATATATACTCTCAGCAATGTGGAATAACATATCTTCCCAGGACCTGGACGGCTGGATTTTTGACAAACCTACAATAAATTTTACATACATTTGTCTTAATTTACATAAGTTTACTATTTGATGGGTGGCTTACCCATGGTTCGCACGTCCCGAGACCCCTTCCCCTAAATATAGCCACATCCTTGCTCGGGGTTGTTGTTCCGCATTTTTTCACCTGCATTGGCATGTTTTAAATGCCATTGCCAAAAGCCAAATGATTTCACCTGCAGCTTCCATTCATTCTTTGCACCCTAGTTTTAAGCGGAAAGGCGGGTTACGAAGTTGTCGTCAACGGAAATCTCTTCTTTTGGATGATGAGACAAGGACACCTACTTTAGCCCCGTCTTAACCCTGCTGTTCGCATAAGCCTACATAAACCCTACCCTGTCAGGGTCAACCGTCCGTTCGAACTGTTCGAACGAAGGGGTCGCATTTTGGTCGGAAGGGGGTCGCAATTTCGAGGACTGCCAGCCACAGGCGCGTGCGTGGCGTATCCGAGGGCAAGAATTGTTTGTGCAGACCGCATTAGATTCGATTATTATGCACAGAGAGACAGTTTTAGGCAAATTACGGTGTTTTCCTTGAGGAATAAAGAACAGTTGAATGCATCCCTATGAAAGGTTTGACTTCTCGGGGCTGAAATTAAAGTTCTTCGGGACCTAATTTTCTGAGGACGATTCTTCCAGACAACGGTAAAACACATAAGAAAGCAGAAATCTCGTAGTCTTCAAAAATGTCTTCGCCCCTCCCCAACAAGTTCTTTGAAGGAAGTTATTATTGCTGAAAGCTCAAAAACTCGCATGTGCTGCTCAAAAACCTATGGGAACAAAATGTTCGAACGTGTGATTTTCTCGGAAAATGAATTTTGAAAAACGGTTTGGTGCTTGTTAGAAAGAGCAAATCCTGTACTTTCACCCCATGAAAAAAAGTGCATCACAGAAATGAAAATGAAGTGAGTTATGCCCGCTTAAAGCCCAAAAACTCGCGATTTCAAAAAAAGTGTTCGGCAAAACCCCCCAAAATGTTCGAACGTGTGATTTTCTCGAAAAATGAACTTTGAAAAACGGTTTGGGGCTTGTTAGAAAGAGCAAATCCTGTACTTTCACCCCATGAAAAAAGTGCATCACAGAAATGAAAATGAAGTGAGTTATGGTCGCTGAAAGCCCAAAAACTCGCTTTTGCACGAAAAATGTTCGAACGGGACAATTTTTTGAAAAAGGGGACAATCACTAAACTTTTTATACTGTTTTGTTAGAGAAATATTTGAAGTTTCTGAAACTTTTTACAGATTTCCAAAATGTCGCATACGAAAGATTTTATGGGCCTTCAAAGTTGAAGGTGCGCCTTCTTAGAATTTTGGGTTTTCCACTTCTAACAGAAGTACTTTCCGGAGAGTTAGGCAATCCTTGTAGTTTTCTGGAAGCGCACCTCAGGCACAATCAAAATCTACCTCAACAAGCCAAGTCAATACGTCAAAAATACGTCCCAAGAAAGTTACTCCACCCTAAAAATTTTTCTTCGCCGCGTCCCGTTCTTCCAGCGCCCGGGTGATACCTGCCGCGCTCCAAGGGCGACGCGACGACGCGCAGACGCTTTCTGCGGCGGCGGCGCAAACAGTTTCTGGCGCAACGGATTCATGTCTAGCACTCTTATTAACAAAAATAGGGGGTCGCAACTGGACCCCCTCGAGAGCTAGGGGGTCGCAAAAATCACGAAAATGTTCGAACGTGG